ATTGTTAGATGACTCATATTGCAACATTTGAGGCTCTACTTTATATATAATCCATCAAAATGATATAGCGTGATTCATTTTTTATTAGCACGGAATAAGAGCCCGGCCATGCTTCTAGCTCACGATAGAACCGGTTAACCACCCGTTTGTCTTCTCCTTCGGCTTAATCGTGACCAGCCAGGTGATTTATGATTTCCACTTCTCCTCAGCAAATACAGTTGTGTTGGCCATACGCGGCAGGGCGTGCGAAGCAATTAAGCGTTGAAATCAAGAAAACTTGCAAAAAAGAAAAAAATTCAACGGCGCCCGCAACGAAGCGCGCGCAGATTATAACAGTATTGCGTGATTCATAGGTTACACCTAGAAATTAGTTTCGACACTTTGATAGAAAGTCTTCTTGGAAAAAATATGTGGTACTATGTTCGGGAATTCTTGAGACGATGAGGTGAAAGAAGCCTTCTATTTATCGATAATGTAATATAATAGTAAGTAATATATTGTACAATTTAATTGTATAATATAATTGTATAGTATATTGTACAATTAAATTGTATAATACAATTGTATGATATATTATATAATATAATTGTTTAGTGTATTGTATAATTTAATTGTATGACATATTGTACAATATAATTGTATAGTTATTTTATAATTTAATTGTACAATATAATTGTATAGTTATTTTATAATTTAATTGTATAATATAACTGTATAATAGTTTGTATAATTAAATTCTATAATATATTGTAGAATATAATTATACGATTTAATGATACAATATGTGTTGTGTAATTTAATTTTACAACATGATGTAAATGTTACTTTTCTCTTACAAACCAAGTCATTGTACCTGAATTTTACTTACATTTTCAAATTGTACAGTCCCCAGTTACGTATTTCTAACTTTGATAGTTTACGAAGCATTCGACAAGATACATTTCTCACTCCTAAAAATTGTTTATCTGTGATGTTTTTCAATGTAAATATTGCCAGATGGAGGCAATATTTGCTAGTCAATTTTACGAGACTTATCGTCTAGCAGTGTTACGTCAAGATCATCGATTACAACTCCGGTACGTTTCCTTGTTAGCGTTACTATGATGTACAGCAGGTATAAGTCGACGATCAATGCAATCACTTGCTCTTCATGCATTTTGAATACAAAGGGTATTGCTACCTATTCGTGCGACTGATAGTTACCGGCGAGGAAGGTGTTAGCACAGACGAGGTATAAGAATAGAGCTGACGTTCTATGTATTTTCGTAGCCCAACTTTCTGGGGCGCGAAAGCCTCCATTACCACCGTCGTTTCATCTGCAACGTTATCAAATGAGTGGGAGAATAATAGATTGTGAACGTTTACGTAATCAGGATTGTGATCTACCGCCTCGAATTGAACTAATTAGTCTAAATAATATTTAATGTCGTATAATGGACTGCTACATATTTAGTTCTTTCATTGGTCTTTTAATGAAAATATAAAACGAACCGAGATAATTGTACATTAAGTTTTAGAAGATTGTTGAAAAGAGGAGGCTTCAATCTTTGAATCTGTAGTAGGCAGGAAAGAAGTTTATCAAAATTTGTAAACAAATTTCAAATTGCTTTAAAGAACAGTGAATTGTGATAACTAGAATTATGGATTTTATATATTCAAATGAAAAATGAATAGATCAAGTAAGACACTGTTAAGACAGAAGAATATGAGGATATTGTCACGTTATTTTCAACTTATCACTATTATTAAAGGAGGAAAGGCATTTCAATCTAATTTACATTTCCTACAATTAATGTGTCGGTCACACTGTGTCGGTCAATCAGCCATGAAGCAACACACGTCAGGTCAGTAACTTTTAGTGCCCGTTTGGTTTAGTGTTAAAGGAAATCATGATTTATTAACGTTATACTGTATTAAAGCAATAAGTATCTGTAGCATTGTATTTCCGCGTATTATGCAACTCGCGTATTACAACAATAATTACCATCTAAATATAGCCGAGAACGTCTAGGTGCAGACTGAACGAAGATTAATGTTGATACACCCATCGAATCACTCACAGTGAACGTAAAAATCAGTACTTGCAAGCACTTTCTCCCAGTTTCGGGATATAAGTAGTTTACAAATTCCATGGGGAATATTTTGGTTGCCATTCCTTTCCGGCGTTTCCGGCATTCTACGTGGAACACGGAATTTGTATTCATACTAATAGTAGGGTGCTCGAAACATAACTGCAAAGATACGGTCGCTCGGTGCACCGCAACTTGTGTGTAATTGTGATCGCTTGTTCTGTACATGCATGGAATATCGTGCTTCACATTTCGCATTACGGTCGGCAATTACTGGCGATTATGCGATCGTCGTGTAAAGCGGTGGAACGAAGACACGAAAAACCTAAGTGATTAAGCAACGTTCCAGCAATCCCGCGGGGCCCGGGATAAGAAAGTTTTAATTCGCGCGCGAAACACCGGAATCGAAGGCGAGCATTCATAACAGCCGACGTGCTGCGTTCGAGAATTTGCACGAAAATAGTTTCCAGCTCTATTTCACGTGGGCGTGTACCGATTCCAAATAGCTGATCCAGTTTCTGATCACGCAGTGGTTAATGCGTTCATGACCACATTCCCTGAGCATTCGTTATTGACGTTCTAACGCGCGGACCCCGAACATTTTTGACAATACCTATGCATATTCGATGTGTGCTTCCCTGACGCCAGCAAAAATCCACTCCACTTCTCGATCTGTTCTGTATGGAAATGAAGTTCTTTTATTCTGCAGTTCGATAGGTTTCGTTGGAAATTACTGAACAAGCCTGCGTGTAATTTAATCTGTTTCCTATAAAAAACGAACAACTAATGTGTTAGTAGACGGATTAGCATCTTGTGAAACGTACAAGTTTTTATCTTTTTGACAATTTGATCGATCGACTGTCTGATTTAATGCATTTTTTATAATAAATTGTGTTGCATGATCTATTCATCTCCATTTTATACTCTCAATTTTAATAATATAAAATTTACGACAAATGCTTCGCCGAGTTTCAAGTCGACATCAGTGTGGTATAAAAATGTAACGTAATCACATGACGACCGCTCAATTTCTTTAACAAAATGTTTAAAAATAATCATGGAGATCTTATTGTTACCGTTCAGTCGCTATGAAGATGATCGTCATCAACGTCTTCTTTGAAAATCTTTGCTATTTAAAAATAAAACGCTGTTATGATCTGTCCAGCATTACTTCACGATCTTGAAACTGAGGCATATATGAATCACTATGAACCATGATTTCCATAACTGACATACGTTGAAATACATTTTCATCTGTGGTTCGATTTTCCAACCTCAGGAGAAAAGTATCCCTTTTGTGAAAGCTTGATTATCGTACATTAATATTGAAATGTTTACTATAGCGGAGTATAGAAACTATTTTGCTGCGATCGAGGCAAATATTCGGAGCCTGTTTCTAAAATCGGTTTGGAATTGAAGAAGAAAATTTAAATATTTTCTGATGCAATATTGTAACTTGCTGCGATCGACTTTAAGAACTATATTTTCATTTTGATCAACAGTATATTATATTCGTCAAATAAAGTTGTTCTTTGGGTCGGTTTTGCTTATCTTTATGATAACGCCGAGCTACGTATCGTTTAATTGGATACGGATGTCCTGTCACGTCATTTCCACTAGCTGGATTCTGATAACTCAGATAATTATTTAATCGTATTGTAAATCATATGAAAACTTATTTTAACTATCGATCTTGTTAGTTGATCAAATGCATTTTAAGTGAATAGAGGAAAATATCAAAATGATATGAATTTCGTATATTATAATAAAATATGTTAGTATTCAAATTTTTCATGGTTGATTTACTAGTTAGAAACAAGAAAAACTTGTGAGGCAATCTCGTATTTGCATAAATGGTGATATATACTTTCGTTTCCATGACACTGTGCTATGAAAAAGACACGTATAATGCTAATTTAAATAGTTTTACTATAATGGCAGAATATTTGCATAGCAGAGTAATTGCTTGAAAGTGAAAGGTATCGATTGCTATTACTACGGAAGTTACAGTTTTCAAATACTCGCTTACTATTCAACGTCTCCGAAATGAGGCAATCGAAATTTATTAGAATTTATATTTTTATATGAGTAATTAAAGTAACTAGAGTAATTAGAGATTCGCAAAAGAAATGTTATAAATGTGTTCTCTCTCTCTTGTGGTTTCTGGAAATAATAAAAATCATAATTTTCTCAGATAAACGTAAATTGTAGTTATTGGTACCATTGTTCATTGTTGTCTTTATAGAGCAATAGTAAACGTTTGACGTTAGATTATGTCACATTACCTCCGAATAAATTCGAGAAAATTGAAAAAATTGTTACACGATCTGAGGAAATTGTTATTTGTTATTATTGCATCAAATATTACTGAAAAATATTCATAAACGTGAAAAAGAGTGCTCTTGACTTCTGACTTTACAAAATGTTCTTCTTAAAATTGATTTATAAAATTTTGTCCGTAAAATTAATTTGCCACATTTTATTCCCAAATTGAATGTACCTTTCCTTTCCAAACTTAACGTACCAGATGGATCTACCAGATATTCTTTGTAACCGAGACATCATTAAAAACATACTTTCGACTAAAATATGAATGAGTTTTTATCTATGTCTTCATTAAAGAATAATCTCCTGTAACGATTATACTTCTTCGGTATCCATACAATAGCGCATAAAATGCACCTGTTCCCGTGTTTCTTCACCGGAGCATGTAATGCATTCATGCTGCGGTGTAACAAGTACGATACAGGCGGAAACGTCCTTGCGTTTGTCTGTTATTCAGGAAGCACACGTAACTAATTCTTACTTTGAACCTAACCTAGCCTGTATCAGCATTTCCTGATGATCCGTTGAATTGTAAAGCACGCTGGGCGGTGTTCCTCGATATCCAGTTCAAGGTGAACCGCACTTTCGAGTCGTATCAACCGGGAAAGTGACCGTTCTTGGTGGCAGGACTTCCACTGTCAAGAATGTTACCGCGCCGCTCTGTGTAACAGTGCACCTTGGACCGCGAACTCGGTCGAAGCTACGTTCCAGCGAGTCTCCGCGAGTTTCCGTTTGTTACGCATCGGCGGTGCACGTTGATCTTATGTGACAAGGAACATCGAAACCGTTCGACGACGGTTCGCAAACGTTTACATGGTGCTGTATCTAAGTCTTATTCTCGCCTTTGGTACCCTGCACTGCGCCAATGGCCAGGGCCTCGAAGTCGCCTTTCAGTGGAAATACTTGGACTGGACCTGGCCGAACATTCCCTTAACTGGAAAAAACTTCACGTTGGGCAATGCGTTCACCCAGGACGTAGACATTGATCGGACTGGCCGCATATTTGTGACCAGTCCACAATGGTTGGATGGTGTGCCAATCACATTGTCTTTGGTGTCGACTGTGGAAGGACCTGGTGGCCCATTGCTGATACCATATCCGGACTGGTCCTGGTTCACGCCGGACAACTGCAACAGCTTGATATCAGTTTATAGGTTGGCGGTAAATATCGTGGTGACAAGCATAAGTTCATGTTCGTGGCGCGGTTTTTTTAGTCAATCGAAGTATCATAATTTATTAGCAGATTGGTAATTAGATACTTGCTGAGCAAAGTGGTAATATGATTTAATCCTTCGTGGCTTCAAAGTGATTTCACGTGACCGATACATTGACACGATACTAGTCAGCACAGACATGCTTTGAATGTCTGATATCTTAATGGATGAAAGTGAAAATTCGTGAACATGTTGTTTTTAGTGAACGTTCAAAATTTTAGTAAAATATATTTGGATTTATAATATCAATAGATTAAATTAGCAGAGGTAAAAAACTTATTTAAATATAGTGTTAAAGGAATTTACGATTTGGTGCTGTACACACATTTGAAATAATAAAGCTCCAAGTCAATTCACAAAATTAGCAATGAAAGATCCGGAAAGATTGATTCGAATCTTTCTAAATTACGAAACTGCTTCTAATATCAAAGTCTAGTCTAGTCTATATACCATTAAGATGATTTAAACATTCATAAAATGCTGACTACATAATAACTTATCATTAACAATAAACCAACTGATCAGTAACAGTGGCTTGCATTGCTCCATAGAAGTGAAATAACCCAACTCGTTTAGATTTTGTAAAGTCTTTATTATAAAATCTGCTCCAATAATATACATAATTTATTTAAGTATTTTCCATGAGAGAGTCCCTAAATTTCTTAAAATTGTAAAATTAGGAACAAGCCAATTAGACCATGGCAACTATAGAATTAGAGAGCTAAACATAGATATAAAGAGATAGATGCTTATTCAGTGTTTGATCATGTTTCACCATACAACGAAATTATAGTCAATTTTGCAAAACATACATAAGTAGTTTCGTTATGACGATGTTCAAGCATAGAAAAGACTAGATAATCATTGCACATTGAATAGCATAAAAATTGTTCGAATAGCATGAAAAGGATGTTGCACAACATATAATGTACCGATTAGGTTTGTACAAAGTTACGTTAAATGGATGAACATATGCTGTCCAGATAGACGAATGCAATCGCCTGTGGGTCGTGGATACGGGCCGTATAAGCGGCAAGGCTGTTTGCCAGACGAAAATCCTAATCTTCGATCTTGCGACCGATCAGCTGATCCATAAATACGTTGTACCGGATGACCAAGTATTGTACGGGAAGGCGGCATTAGTTACACCGATCGTCGATGTCGGAAAAACGTGTCTCGATACTTATCTGTACGTGGCGGACGTGGATCAAAATGGTCTACTGATTTATGACTTGTATCGCGGCCACTCGTGGCGGGTAAACAATACTCACGGCAACGCTTTCGGGCCGGACGACGATGCCATGAACATCACGATCGCCGGCGAATTTTTCGACTTAACTGATGGCACTCTTGGAATGTCACTGTCACCGTATGGATTCTACAATGAAAGGTATTACTACTGGTTGCATACATAGATCAAACGATTTATGGTACAAGCGAAACAATTCCCAATTTACATACGAAAATGAAGCGAAAATATGTTATGTTTAATCATCTTCGCGGCAGGATAACAAACAATGCTTTCAAGTATACCAGACGACTGAAATTTAATGTTTTGTAACCGGTTGACGAGAAAATGAGGGAAACTCTTTCTGAAAATGTACCTTTATTGGATCAGAGAAAATCTGATGACGATGAAAAGAGGTTTCTTAAATATTTTAAACAATAATATTTTTAACCACTCGAGTGGCGACTCTAAAGCACCATTAAATATTGTCATATTATTTGATAAAGGATCTTTTACATCATTAAAATCTGTATCTAATAAATTGTTAAAAATGTAACTAAATACATGAGATAATGGGGTTAATATCGTACGGATAAAGTGAAAATAACCGTAGAAAATGTAAAATTAACAAACGGTTTGAATGAATAAATTATAATTAATTATAGTAAAACTTTATTCGAAAAATATTTCGAATTAATTCTTCGAATAAAATTTGATTTGTATAATATTTCAAATTATTTGATTCGTATTATATTTCGAATAAATTTTTTGAATAATATTTCGAATGAATACTATTGTGTTTTAGAAAAAAAATCGCTTAATTTTCGAGTTAATGTAGCTTCGAGTGCACAGGGTTCTGCATTCTTCTCAACTTATGTTGCGCATAATTCTGTTTTAATGAGAATCAAGAAAGAGAGTGCTTATAAGTCAAAACTAAAAACCTGTGATCAGACAGGTGCTGAAAAAACAATCAATATTTTTTTGTGTAAATACTTTCATGCTATATTTGTTTCGTATGTTAAAAGAGTTTCTTCGCTTGTACCAATAATTGTTACAAGTTAATATATTATAAAAGTTAATATAAAAGTTATACCTACTATAATTACCTAAATTATAACGATATCAACAACCTTTACGGTTATATATCATTACGGGACAGATCATAATAATGATAAAATATATATTTGAGAAAATAAGTTATGCTTAATAATAAGATCGAATCGAGTATTACAATTGAATCTTGCTAGCAGTACGCAATTCTCCGGAATTGAAGGGATCAATTGATAACGGTGTGAGTGGTTTCCAGGTACCTGTACTTCAACTCTTTGGCTAGCTATCTGCAAAAGTTCACGGACACTACTTCGTTAAAGTCAAGTAAATACAACGAGCCGATAGTGTACGAATCGAATTATAAAAGAGCGAGCCAGGCAGGTGTCCAAGCAACGTCTCGGAGGGGCGTAATATTTTTCCAATTAGCTCAGCTAACAGCGATCGCTTGTTGGAACATCGAGAAGCCGTTCGCGCCAGAAAATGTAGTGATACTCGCTCAGGACGAGGAAAAGTTGCAGTACGTCAGCGGTATCAAAGTAATTGTGAACGACCGTGGCGAGGAGGAACTGTGGTTCAACACGAACAGATTGCAAAAAACCATAAACATGACACTGAAACCCAGTGAAACGAATTTCCGTTTAATCAGAGGCAAGGTAGACGACATTATTAGAGGCACGAATTGCGAGCCAACAGGTAGAAGAAGTTTCAGCCCGGATACCACATTCTGGCACAGGATTTGAGTCAGATACTCTAATCAAATACTCCTCGACAGTTCCTTCACACAAACACGCGCATACGCGCACACACACATACACCTTCGGAAAATACAGGAATTCCTAAACGCTCAGAGTCAAACGTCATTTAGTATGAAAAGATTTTATTGATTCAACGTAACGAACCATTTAATTATAAATAGTAAACCAAAATAAGTTATACCTCTCCGTCTGCACGCTAATGTAATAAACTGTTTATAATTCTTTTTACATGTCTTGCGATAAATACACTCTGCGAGACAGTCGTCGTAAATATTACCTGATTTTAGTTTATTTGAAAGGTTCCCTTTATACTAAAACTCTTGCCGTACCCTGACGAGTCTGTTCTTTTTAGACGGAACAAGATTCTGTTCTCCTGTCATCATTATTTGTCACAGGATAATTATAAACATCCTTTTCATTGTATGAGATCGTTACAATCAAAAATGCAAGGGTTTAGTCTAATACAATTGGTACAAGAAATTATTAAACGAGAGATCCATGATTCCTATCATTACATTTATATCCAATTCGGTATCGATCCTTTACCCTATAATCTTTTTCTACTTAATTGAACACTGACCCGCAAACAATGTAAAAATTCATCCGAACGAAGAAAATATAATTAAAGACAAATAATATCTACACAATTAATCATGAAATTAGGTGGGTTAGATATAAACTATTCTTTCCAGAGCAGTTTTCATTCGACACCATTTTTTACCTTTCCATTCGATTTACTGGCTGGTTTCATTGAACTTCGACCATGAATTCGCCAGAAGTATTCCCAAACAGAAAGAGCGTATCATTAAAAAAGAAAATCTCTGTTGATCAAAGAACCAGTTACAAGATTGTTCTTTCTGAAATCGATTTACTGCCTCCCAGGAGGCATTCCCGAGGTTCTCCACAGAAGAAACGCGTCCGAAGTTTTCTTGCTCCAGTTTTAATTCGGCCCGCTCCCTTCTCGAATTTCTGTAACCTGGTTATTTTACGGAGCTCGGGTCTCGCGGAAACGTTTCGGCGGAACGTAAAAGTCCGCAAGAGAATATAATTAAAAAAGAGGAACAATGTAGCGACCCGTTAAACGGGGAATAACCCCTTGAAAGCCAATAGCTTCATCCGGCTCGGTTCACCGCCGGCTGCTTTCGACAGAGAGAACAAATAACCGCATTAACGACTTCGATTACTTGTTTTTGCGAAAGTAGACCGGCACGGTAACCGAACGCAGAGGATTGTTCGGGATATCGCCGGGCGAGTAAGCCGCACGGCGAAGTAAGGGGACGTTCTGCGAGTGACAGCCAGCGTGCGGCAATTTAGTTAACCGTTTCATTGCTGCCTTTTGAGATGTAACGACGAGGCCTGCCGGTGACAGAAGCGTCACCGGGTACCCGAATGTTTCGACGGGATGCTCGCCGTAACGAGAACAACGCCGAGAGAGGCTGCAGGGAGGTGCCAGGGGTTAGGCGAGGACCAAGGCGCTGCTGCTGGTTTCTAGGCGATGCTAGCCGTGGCCATCCGGTCCGGTATGCCGGCCTTTTCTTGCCAGCAATTTCAGGAAGTTTTATCTGCCTTCTGGATACCGCAGGATCGCAGCCGGCCGCGTCGCGCCGACCGAGGTTCAGTCGTAGAGACAAGGGAGGAGGCTGGCCGAGATAAATGCGCATTCACGAGGAATTGTTCGTGTTACTGCCGCGGCACTTTCGGGATACCAATAGAGCGCCCAATGCCGGGAAATTCGTGTCACCTACTTCTCTTTCTACGGCGTAGTTCGGCGTGTGACTAATGGCGGCATATTCATGGCACAGGTTCGCCCCCTCTAGGTACCCTCGACACTACCCGCGCCCACACCCTTTGCGAAGCTTTGGCAGTTAACCTCAGACAACCCCTTCGTCGCGATAATATACGGCCGCCCTTAAATTTTCGTTCCCCATCGGCGCCTCCGGCCGCCCACACCCCCAACTTCAACATCAGCCTACCACCGCGCACGTATGCTGGAAAAGCTGCCGCGTCCTCGCTGCCGCTACCGCTCCTCCATCGTTTGATGCCCGGGATTCTGCATCGCGCGATTCAAATCATGGGATATTCACGGATTTTCCGGGTTCCCTTCGAAATCTGAACGCGCGCGCGGTGCAGATTTTTTACAACTTCTTCGGAATTCTTGAGCTATTTGCAGACCACGTGCAGACTAATTTCTTTAACCGTCTGATAGGATATTGTTAGATAGCAATGAATAAATTGTAATATACTCAACGATTAGACTTTTGATAATATAAAATACAATTAGTGAAATAGGTATGATCGAATGAAGGGAACAGGCGTCGCATACACGGATTTTTTCAAGGGCCTTTTAATTTCTCTACAAAAATTCAACATAACAATAAATTGGAAATGATGATTATAATGGTTACATTGGCTTATAAAAAGCCAGATCTCCCATGAAATGCGATTACAATGTACAATACAAGCTTAAGCATCATAGCTTCTGATAACATTATAAAGTTGACTTCGAAATTGATCATCAATGAAGATGTGAATGTCATGTCAGAAAATTGAAAGTCTCATCCTGAAATCTAACACTTTCTTTCTTATCTACACAGTAAGTCAGGACAACTTATCTAAATGTAAAAGGAATACAAAATAATGTTAATTATCGAACGATGTACAAAATTAGTGCTTCATGTACTTGTATTATCAGCAATTTACGATTATATTCTGCTGCTTTATTTTGAAATTGTGTTGGCACTTCCGAAACGCTATGCAATGAGTGAAAAATTCGAATTTTAATTTTGGATAGCGTTATAGATGTGTGATCAAATGTAAAAGTCACTAGATGCTAAACATCTAACTAACATCAGCTTCTAACATTCGCAAGCAATTCCTCTGGGTAGTTGATAACTCGTGATAAGAAAAGTTTAAAATCTAGAAGAAAATTTCTTCGTTTGTGGCCTTGTTTTAAAGAAAAGCTAGTTTGAATTCCGTCGACCGCCAGTAGAATTGGTAGGTCATGATCGGACAAACAAATTATTAATAAAGTGAGAAAGAATTTTATTCGCGAAACTTTGAAACTTATATTCCTCGGAAACGAATGATCGGCTGAAAAAATAACTTACATAAACAGTTTCGTAAACCGGTTAGTAAAACCGCAGTCTGTAAAAATAACAATACCCACGCGGCATTCGAAAAACATCCTAACAAAGAATAGATATCACAAGATTCCCTAGAAAACGTTTGAAATTCTTGCGCAATAAAAGAAGTTGGTTGTGCCCTATCATTCTTCCGCGGAGCGTAATCCATCCGCGGTTCCACCGGAACTGAGATGGCCCTAGCTGGAAGACCGAATAAAAGTTCCTGGCTGGTTAGCGTGGTTAATAAGCGCGGGCATAAAGGGGGGGACGATAACCGGGCCCGTAAAAACCCGGTATACCGTTCAATATTCTTTTTACGCGGTTTCGTAAAGTAGGGCTGACTGAGTTATAGCACCGTTCAATATACTATCGTCGTATCAAGGTATTATAAAATATTGTGACTCCGGCGGGCAAGGGCTCGTGCGGGGACGTATAACGTTGACCGCGAACGATCCATGCAAGAGCACGTTTTCACGATCGAACTCGTTACCTTAAGGATACGACGTGGAATTACTTAAGAGGTGATAGGCGTCCGTTGTAAAAGTCCTGTCGCCGCGGGCTCGTCCGCGCGAAGAAAAGGTCTGAAATCGTTTTACGAGCGTACTTTTAAAACGACTTTACGGTACCGCCGCGGAATTTTGAAATAAATTTGCATCAGTTTTACTGCCGCTAATATACATAACTACCGGTGTTTGGCACTGATACTCGCGCGTAGAAGCGCGGCCGGCCGACGGTGTGCCATTCTTTACCGGCAGTTAGCGTCCGTAATGCGATACAGGACCGGCCCGTAAAGAAAGGAAGCGCTCGTCGAGATATCTTCTCGCGACGCGGCGGCTCTCCCTACCCTGATAAACGCGGCAATTACGCGCGCGAAAAGAAACAGAGAGAGAGAGAGAGAGAGAGAGAGAGAGAGAACAGGATCGCCGCGTTCGGCTCGCACGCAACGCAACACGACGAGAGGAGCGTCCCGTTCCGTCGTGACCCGTCGCATGTGCACCTAAGCGCGAACGATCGCGCGTCGTTACATGAAAATTCAATTAGGAGCGGCTAAACAATTCACCGGGGTCCGGGGAGTCAGGGTCCACTTCCGCGCGAAAGAATGTATCCCAATTAAGGGAAGCACCGAAGGAGGGGACAAAGCGGCTGCCATTTTACTTGCCGTTTCCCAGGGAAAATGAAATTTTAAAATTTAATCGCCAAATTAACCGCGTATCTCATAGCGGCGGCTTTTCTAGCGAGCACGGCAAATTACTTGTTTTTCTCGGAATTCTACCGGTCCGCGTGTTTCGAATGAACGGGCTGCCCGAGGGAGACGGTAGACCCGGCCGCCATGTTGCAACGCGTGGGCGCGCACGCTTGCTACCTAGTAGCGAGCTAGCTGGATGGCCAGCTATCCAGCTCGCTCGCTTCCTCGCGCGCTCGCCGGCTCTCGCCGAACGAACTCACGCGGTATCCGTTTGCAATTCGAAGGAACGTCGAGTTCCTGCGGCGGGTGGAACGTCGGGAGAATTTCGGGCATCTCCCGTGTCTTTATTAAGGCAGCTCATCTATAATTCACCGGGTGGCCTAGACGGGCTGACAGTGCTGGACTCACCGGCCGCATAAACACACGGCATCTCGTGCAGAAGCTCATGTACGCCAGTGTGTGGCATGCATTGCAGTTGTCAGCTCTAGTCAACGTGTAATTTACTATCCTGCCGCGGCTCAATGCAGCTGCACCCGCTGCTCGGAACCTGGACCACCAAGTACCGTCTGCCTGGCAGAACGTCGGCGCTAACGGCCACGAGAACGCGAACATCGGCCGCACTGCTGTTGCCGTATTGCCGTTGTAGCTGTCGCTAGTTGCGATCCAAGTGGATGATAATCCGAGGCCGCGTTCTGGTCACCACTCGGAGCCAGACCGCCGGATCCCTGCTACCCATAAACTAACTGCTACACCCCTGATCTCTGCTCCGCCATTAGTTCGCCAAGAAGTTTACAGGTGCTCCCCTCTCCAGCGCAGACGGAATCACAGCAGCCTGTCCGACATCGTGAAAGAACGTTTCCAGCAATCTCGTCACCGGCCACAGATTTCTCCTCTACTCCGACTATAGATACAGGTCTAAGGCCCACTCACTGCTAGCCGTGTCGGCCCGATTGACCAGGAAACGAACTGTTGTTACTAGATTGCTAGGTGCATTGGAACGCTGCCGTAACCGCTCACCAAGGTAACGTAATTATGTTACACAGTCGCGCCCGCCGTAAAACGACTATACGACTTCTCATTTGAATCGTTACGCCGTTTGTCATGTTGTAAGAATTGCTGTTTGACACACATCGCTTAGTTCGTGTAACGGATTATGTGAACTTGTAACTTCT